AGTACTTTAAAGTGTATAAATAAGTTACCCGGGCAATTGATTTACATCAGCCAATCATATGAAAGTCCTCCTATGACAAAAGGCTGGAGTCGAAAGGTAGATGAATATTTTGTTATAAAAAAGCTGAATGCCACACCCAAATCTATGAATATTATTATTGAATTTCTTTATGGCGTAGACTTCAATGCATCACATAATATGAGAACACTTTTGGATACGTTTTCGCTCGCGGACGAAATGGGCATCATGGTATTACGTGATGGGTTAAAATCATATTTCATCGAAAATATTATGACCATTATGAAAAACAACCCATTATTAGTTTTAGAATTTATTAAGAAATTTATTTTGTATGACGATTTGAAAGAAGTATTGTTAAAAGCTTTGTGTTTGAATCCGGCGTTATTATTTAATTTCGATAACAAAGAAATTCCTGAAAATATTCTCCATGAATTAATATCGAGGTCAGAGTTATGTCTGGAAGAAAACTTGTTATTAAGTAGAATTATTCAATGGTTGTTGGATACAAACGGGTTTCCGGATAAGGTATATTTAATGGAATATATAAGATTCAACCAGATTACTTCTGACGAAATTAATGATATAATACGTAAATATAAGAAAAGGAGAAATATAAATAATGAAATACTTTCTGAGGTGCAAGAACGTTACGAAAAATTCAAAAACAATAACTATGATGTCCGAGATGGCAATTTTTGCCTCAGATCTGAAATTATAGATTTAGACACAGCTAAAAAATTAATCACATGGATAAGCAGAAAAGAATATAATAAGTGTTGGTACAAGTTTGAACTTTTATTTAATATGAAGCATGATGGTTTAAAGTCAGAAACCTTTCATAAAAACTGTGATAGAAAAGGGCCCACTATAGTAATTATTAAATTACTTGATGGTGATTTAATAGGTGGTTATAATCCATTAGATTGGGAAGGTGAGAATGTTTGGAAAAAAACTAGTGATAGTTTTCTATTTCAAAAAAATTGTCGTAACTATAAGAAAGTAAATATTAAACCAGAATCCGAAGGAATGGCCATTCGTTGTGGAACTGCATATGGTCCGACATTTGGAAGAAACGATTTGTGTATTCAGGATGGTTCAGGTTTTTGTATGGTTAAAGATTCACAATATGAAAGTTTAAGTGTGTCAGGAAGATTTCAGATGGGTTATCAAACAAAGATAATATATTTATGTTTTTCAGAGGATGAATTCCAATGTACTTAATATGATAATTAAATGTAAACTTAAAAATCGTGGCTAAAACTTTATAGAGATTGGCTTGACTATATTCTGTCATTAAATTAACTAAACTAACTAGAATGTTTACTGAAACTTTGACCTATTCCTTCTTTATGTATAGCTCTAAGTCACTTAATTAAATTATCTAATTATGCCATTATCTACAAGTTTTCAGTAGGGTTAGAGATAGGGTGAGATTATTAAAATAAACTCAATAGAGGCGGAAATATAGCCTCATGAAATTTATGCGATGTTTTTATATAATCTTTAGAACGTTGCCCAAATTTCGAAAGGTAATATCTTTTTTGACATCAATACAAAAGGACATTTAATTTCATACGTACTAAATAATAATATTGAATTCATGATACTAATGAATTTAACATCTCTGAGTAGGAGAGTGAGCTGAGTTCGAAATTACAGTAGTTGGAAAATATATCCCTTAATCTGTAAATCTAATTTGCCTAGAAAATTTTGATTATTAGTGTTATCGTATTAACAAAAATTAAAATTAGGTATAGTTATGGGGGTATTACATATACAAAATTTATTTCTAAGAAGAATTTAGTTGGTGTGCAAATCTTACACTCTCTATTAAATACTTTTGCATATTATTTAATGCAATTATCCTAACTGTTAAGCCAATAATGGACAAAAAAAATCAAGAAAGTAATAAGAATGTTACCAACACCCATTGACGTTGTGCAGTACATTTTCAAATTTGGTTAATGCAGCTCAGTTAATAGGTACTAAATATTTTAAAAATAAAATCCTTTGGCATGAGAATGCTTTTTTCCTAATTCAAGATCAATAGAAGTTTTAATAATTTTTTTTTTTTAAAAAAAAACAACAACCAAAACCAATTAATAGCCGCTTAGAACTTGCTAAATTAATAAATCTTCTTTCTCTTGGAGACCAAATAGTCTTCTTATATGATATTATTCTAAAGTCATGTCATTTCCAACGTTCCATTTCAGAAAATTCGTCCATGGATATTAATTCTGGCTTCATTATAAATATAAATATTATTTAGCAAAAACAAACGATTTTCGAATAACTTGAAGTTCACAACTATATTGCGTTTGAAAATGTATTTTTTACAAGTAAGTAATACTTATCAATAAAAAAAAAAAACTTTGTGAATTGATTTACTCAAATATTTCAACCATTAAATTACTTAAAATACTGCGATTTGTATCAGTTGTTCCTTGATCGTTTGAAGGGTGCCAATTGATATTTTTATTCGAAAAATAAGCCATCGCCTTTTCATATTGCGCTTTTTTTTTTATTATTTATTGTAAATAACACATTACAGTACATATTAATAAATGTAGTTTATTTTAAAACCACTTTTAAATTAATTTACAATTGGATTTTTAGTTAAATGCTAAATAAAATAGATTATGTAATTTTTCAAGAGTAACAAAATAAATCAGGCCATAAGAAAAAAGGGTTGTTAATTTATTTGTAAATAATTGTAAAACTTTTAATTTTAAATTAAATAAAGATTAATCAGATTAATCTTGTATTGTTCATAAAATTTATTAAATTAAAAATTTTAATAATCCAATTTTTGAATGTTAACTTTCAAATACAAATTATATAATAAATGAGAATAATTTTCTTAGCAAAAATTTATCAAGCGAGCAATAAACCGACCTAGTATTTTCTTTTTTTTTAGGGATAGTGATCTTTTTTTAATAACAATAATGCCAAAAAGAGGTAAAGTTTACGCAATATCCTGAAACATAAGCCTATTATTTAATGAAGAAATGGTTAATTTAGTCATTATCATTTTGCACAAATAATTAAACTTATCAGCTCACATAAAAGCGAAGGTATCGTGATTTTATTTCAGTATTCATTTTTAGATAAATATTTATTTTTAAACAAATTTCATTTTTTACTTGTAGCCTGTCAGGCTTACAAATGGAAATTTGGTATTCGAATGTCCAGTACCTAACTCGCTTCTTAAAAAAGTTAAATACACTAAAAGTGAAGAGTTTACGGATATAAGATACACAGCTATCACATGCGATCCAGACGAGTTTGAAATAAAAAAATATTTAATTCGACAAAAAAAATATAAGCGAGATACCGAAATAATGATTGTTATTACAATGTATAATGAAAACGATACTCTCTTTATTAAAACAATGTCTTCTGTCATAAAAAATGTCGCCTATATTTGTTCAAAAAAAAGTTGGGGAGATGAAGGTTGGCAAAAAATTGTCGTGTTAATAGTGTCAGATGGTCGTAATAAAATAAATAAATGGACTCTAAATGTCTTGAGCGCTATGGGCTGTTACCAAGATGGAATTATGCAAGATTGTGTCAAAAAAAAAGCTGTTACTGCACATCTTTTCGAATATACTACACAATTAATGGTCGATAATGATTTTAATGTCAAAGGGAAAGACTATAATATCCCACCAGTACAGGTTATGTTTTGTTTAAAAGAAATAAATGCAAAAAAATTAAATTCTCATCGTTGGTCTTTCAATGCTTTTGCTCCTCTTTTGAACCCAAATATTTGTATTTTACTTGATGTGGGCACAAAACCTTCGCAAACCTCAGTTTATCACTTGTGGAAAGGTATTCTCACTTAATTTTGTTTATGGCTGAGATTAGCTGATGCTGATGCTGATAATTGAACTTTAAAACTATAATATATGAGGGTGCCAGTAGAAACCAAGCAAATTGTTTCTAAGTAAATTTTTTTAAAACTTTAAAATATCTTAATAATTATCAAACCAAACTTGATAAATTTTTTTTTATTTTAATTCTATGTAGTTATAGAATTAAATTAAAAAAAATTTATAAAGTTTGGTTTGATAGTTGTTGGAATATTTTGTTTAAATTTTTAAAAAAACACTAAAAACAATTGCTTGGTTTCTACTGGCACCCCATATTTTAAATACATTTTAATTTTTTTATTTGTGAATTAATATGGATAGAAAATACTCCAAATCTTGGTATCAGCTAATTTCAACATTACCTGTGACATTGATATTTATATCGAAAATTTTTTTTTTCAGCTTTTAATAGTGATCCTCATGTTGGTGGTGCTTGTGGAGAAATTAAAGTAGATCTTGGTCATAAATGTAGAAACCTTCTTAATCCTTTAATTGCTTCTCAAAATTTCGAATATAAAATGTCTAATATCTTAGACAAACCATCTGAGTCTGTTTTTGGTTACATCTCAGTATTACCAGGCGCTTTCTCTGCATACAGGTATAAAGCAATAATAAATGGACCATTGGAATCATACTTTAAAGGTGAGACTATGCATGGGTCAGATGCTACTAAGACTGGTATATTTGAAGCAAACATGTACCTGGCAGAAGATTGTATTTTAAGTTTTGAGCTTGTCATTAAGAAAAATGAATCATGGAAATTAAAATACGTAAAGGTAAATATTATTTACAAATTAATAATTATTTTATTTGGTTTACAATTCAAATATTTTCTTGATAATTGCATTAGTAGTCAGTATTTTATAATATTTCAAACTTCAACTTTATTATATAATTTAGTCAGCTAAAGCAGAAACTGATGTCCCAGACAATGTGCCTGAATTTATTTCCCAACGTCGTCGCTGGTTGAATGGATCTTTCTTTACTGCTTTCTATTCTATTTCCAAATTTAATCGTATTTGGAGATCTGGACAACCATTTTTTCGCAAAATATTATTACAAATACAATTCGTTTATAATGGTATACAATTAATCTTCAACTGGTTCTCTTTGGTAAATATGATAAATCTTTAATATTTGTAAACAAAGTTTAAGATTGATATTATTCACTTATTAATTTATTCATTACTTAAATTAGGCAAATTTTTATTTGTCATTTTATTTCTTAATTCAGTCAACCACTTCAAATCCTGCAATTGATCCTTTCAAAGGCCATGGAGATAATTTATTTGATGCTGCACAATCATTGTATTTAATAATTATTGTAATAATTTTCATTTGTTCAATGGGTAATCGTCCTCAAGGAACAAAATTGATATACACACTCTGTATAGTCCTCTTTGCAATTATCATGGCATTTATGCTTTACTGTTCAATTTATATTATGTATCTCACTGTATCTAAAGCAGTACCACCAATAGATTTTAAGAACCTTTCGAATATTCAAGAAACTTTAAGGAATGCAGCATTCCGTGATATCATAATTTCTGTTGTTTTAACTTACTTACTATATCTTTTTTCAGCTTTTATTCATTGTGAACCATGGCATATGTTCAGCTGTTTAGTTCAATACCTTTTACTTGTTCCTTCATATGTAAATATTATTATGATTTATGCTTTTTGTAATACTCATGATGTTTCATGGGGTACAAAAGGAGATAATATTAATATTGGAAATCTGAACGGAGTACTGCTAACTGAAGAAGATTCAGAATCCGTTAAAATTAATATAATTGAAGAAGATGAGGATAAAAATGCTGCATACGAAAATATTATCCAGGAGTTAAAAAATAAAGATCATGAAAAGAAAAAACACCGCAATGACATTATAAAGAAAGATGATTATTATAGATTGTTTAGAACAAATTTTGTTCTTTCATGGATATTTACAAATGGTTTAATAATATTTTTATTCACATCAAATACTTTTGTAAAATATTTTTCAACTCACGATTATAACCCTTATTTGGTTTTTGGTATGTTATTTATTTAAATTTATTTTAAATGATTATAATGTTTATTAATTTAAATTATTTCGTTTTAGTATTTTGGTCAGTTGTGATTCTATCTGCTTTCAGGGTGATTGGTAGTTTAATATATTTAGTTCTCTGCTTTGTGTCCAGATTAAAAGTCTATTAAAATAATTTCTTAGCAAGATAAATCTGATAATCTCATCACCTGTGACGTCATGGTATATGATTGGCTTAATTTTTTGGAAAATCTCAAAATTTTGGCCTGCATTATAGTAAAATTGACCCAGAAAAATGTTTCTTTTTAAACTTAAAATTTTACGGTTTTCCCTTTATATAAAAGTTTGCACGTGATTTATACTATATAAATTTTCCGCTCTAAAAATTAGGTTTGAACGCCAGTTCACTTTAAATTCATGAGAACTTAGTCACGAATTACGCCACATGTATTATTAAATTTTGACTAAACATGGAATATTGGGGTTAGAGATATGACCCGTTATCTACTGAATATAAATTTATTAATAAATCTATTGAATATTCACTGGATTTTATTAATAAATTTATATTCAGTGAATAACGGGTCACATCTCAAATTGGGGTGTCCAATGCAAGTCTAATTACAAATATAGTGCTGGTGTAGTGATGATCATTAATCAATTTTTTTTTATAATTAGTGGTAGTAATAACTCTTAAACAAGCAAACCTATACAAATAACTTTATATTGTCGAAAACATGCTCTTTAAAGTTATAGAGCCTTTTTTCTTTTATTCTCATTGTTTGGAGCATAGCGGAGGACGCAGTTTTCATACAAAATGGTCATTTTTGATATTTTTCAATAAAAATATCATAAACATAACTTCAAAAATTTTGTCTATCGTATTGTATTGTGCAATGATGCTCGATGAAAATTTTGAAGTTACGTTTTTGATATTTTTATTAAAAATGCGTCAAAAATGACAATTTTGCATGAAAACTGCGTCCTCCGCTATGCTCCAAACAATGTTTAATTGTTTTTTCTTTTACAAAGAATTTTGAAGTAGTGCGAGAGCGGATCTTTATATAATGTTTTATTTGATAAAATTACATGAATATACTGATTAATTCCAGATTAGGTTTAATACATAAAGCTATTCATATAACATGTGACTTTATTATTATCTATTCGAAATGTTCGTTTCTAATGCATTATTCATGAAGATATCAAAAACGTAATTTCTGTTTATATTGCCGGCCAGGACTACCGGTATAGTGTAAATAATTTTCTCTTAAGATAATAAAAACTACCAAATTGTTTATACCAGAGTTACAAATTAATTGTATACCATAGCTACGAAATTAGAACTGAAATCTCTGTGCAATATTTAACATCTAAGATAGAATCAAAATAGAATAAAATAAAATAAAATTTATTAGCAATATCTCCAGTAGCAGGAATTAGTCACCGAATTAATAATAATTTATTAATTCTGGTGAAATTGTTGAAACTAATGATATCATATGATTTTGCGAACCCATGGGTCCATGAGAGATATTATCTGCGTTAACTACCATTTTTAGAGTAAACTATTATAGTGAAGTGATCGGGTTGTAATGAAAAGAAATTTTTATTTTTAATTGCTATCTAAATAAAATTTAGCTATATTTTCAATAGTTTTTTTGCCTCGATTGTACCATAATCATTTTTTTCCCCATGATCTTGGTTCCATTTTTTTGCGGGATAAAAACGAAGACGTTCGGCTTCAATAATAAGCTTATACCCTTTGTCAATATTTTTTTTACAACCAGCACCAGCAAGCAAGTGTAGTCCCATTTTAAATTTAACTTGATATTTGAAATTGTCATTACCTTCATCTTTAATTTTATCATATGTTACAAAAGCATTTTTATAATCTGATTCTTCAGAAACAGATTTCAATAGTTCAAATAGAACAAGCAGATATTTAGCTTCTTCTGCTTTAAATAGCTTTCGAGCCTCTAAATATTTACAATATGCTTGAGCTGAGTTAGGCATCAAAAACTTTTAAAAAAATTAAATACAAATATCAATTAGCCTAATTTTTATAATTTTAATAGAAAAACGGATAACAGATCACATTGATAATTCAAGTCATTTTTATTGCATGAAAAATTAAATTAGACATTTTTATTTTTCACAGAATGAATTGACAATATAATTAATTCTGTATTAAAAAATGAATTTGAAATTAATTAAATAGTTCTAGAAAAAATAACAATTATATAAATAATCCCGATCATTATATCAAGATCACGGGGTAGGGATTCTGCTCTCTTTAAAAATATCTTTTTGTATTGTATTTAGTTTTTAAAAAATAATTAAAGTCACGTTTATCTTATAGAGACAATACAAAAAAATATTTTTAGAGTGAGCAGAATTATACATCGCAGAATTCTGGATACCCTAAGTCCGGGTCCGATCCTCAGTCTTGGATTCGGTCTTATATGATTTAGATCCTGCATCAGAACTGAATTCATCAAATAAGTTCATCCAATCAAACTAATTTTTGTATTAATTAAATTCAGACTCTAACGCTAAGTCTTATAAAATGTATTGTGTTTTATTTAAGGATCGAGACCCTACCAATCCTTGAAGGATCCCAAAGGACCGATTAACATCTCTATCACGGAATTAATGAATAATACAGTGTCCTTATCCGTATATGAATAAGCGGAAACTTCGATCAAGATATTATTATTACTAGTCAAGGATAACTCCAAGTATAGGTTTAAGCTATAATTTATTTTAAAACTAATACAGTGATAGTAACTAACAGTTTTAGTAAATCAATAATTATATTTAAAAAATTGATCTTGAAAGCATTGTTATACAATTAACTTTCAATTAAATACAGTAGCTTTGAATTTAAAAATATACAGTAGCAATCTAATTCTGAATTAGATATCAGATATGTATTGTGAATTTTTCAAAAAGTTGTGTTTGTAACTATGGATTTATGCATAGAACAAAGAAAAAATTAATTAAAAAGATTTCAACTTGAATTGGATTAACTGAAACTTGCTACTTTTTGTATACAAAATTGGAATTCTTTAAAAGTATTTTTAAGCTTTAAAATTTGCATCTTTTCGTCATCCGCTATTTTAAAATTTATTTATTGCAAAGGTCTTATGTGACAACCCATGCTTTTTTCATTTACTTATTGGCACAGGATTGTTACGTCAGACACCGTGCAATAAAATAGTTATTATATGGGTTGAATAACCTATACAATAACTATAAAATATTGCATTTATATAAAATAAAAAAATATTAATATATTATGCTAAAAGTATAACTTATAAATATTTATAAACAATTTTAAATAAAGAGTACTTACTTCTTAAATTTATTATAAATTATTTTTTGTAATTGTTTTAGTAATTTAAAAAAATAACTAGTTTTTAAATTTAGTTAATATATAGTATTAAATATATATTTAAAATATATAATTTAGTAATATATTATGTTATTGTTATACTAAACACAAAATTAAAATATTTTATATTAATAAAAATTTTAATTGTAGTTAGAGTTAGTATTTAAACTAAAGTTAGAAATTAATAGTTATATAATAAAAAATGTCCTATTTCTACCAACATTATGTTTATCACCAGAGTTAAGAATTAATTCTACCAAGAGTTACAAATTAATTCTATCAATATTGTGTTTCCAGAGTTACAAATTAATTCAACCAACATTATGTTTACCAGTATTTATCAAAATTATGTTTATCAGAGTTACGAATCAATTCTACAAAAATTATATGTTTTGTTTAACAAAGGTATGATTTAATTCTACCAACATTATGTTTACCAAAGCTGCGAATTAATTCTACCAAAATTATGCTTAAGGTACCAGAGTTACGATTTAATTATCTGTTATAACGAATCGATTCTACCAAATTTATGTTTACTAGAGTTATGAGCTAATTCTATGTTTACCAAGTTATGAGCTAATTCTACCACATTAGAGTTAACTCTACCACAGTTAATTAAATTCTACCAAATTTATAGTTACCAGAATTACTAATTACCGGGAATTCCATCTATATTATATTTACCAGATTACGAATTAGTTACGAATTAATTCTACAAGATATGTTTTGTTTAACAAAAGCTACGATTTAATTCTACTAACATTATGTTTACCAAAGCTGCAAATTAATTCTACCGAAATTATGCTTATAGTACCAGATTTACGATTTTATAATAAATCGATTCTACCAAATTTATGTTTACCAGAGTTACTAGCTAATTCTACCAACATTATGTTTACTAGAGTTACGAGCTAATTCTACCAACATTATGTTTACCAGAGTTATGAGCTAATTCTACCACATTATGTTTACCAGAGTTTTGAGTTAACTCTACTATAATTATATTTAAGAGTTAAACATGCAAAGTCTTCAAAGTCTTCAGCTAGTATTTTATTTACGAGTGTTAATGAAATGGTAACTGATATTCTGGCATACTTTTTATTAAGAAAAGATTATCAATTTGATTATCAATGTAAAATTTATAATCATATCAAAAAATTTGAAAAATTAATTATGAAACTTGAGTTCTTAATTTTTTTAATCTTGTTAATTTTTTTATTACTGTTGATGGGATATTTAACCAGGTAATTATTTATAAGTTTTTTAAATATTATGATTTATACTTAATGCATAGTTCTAATAATTTATCACAATATAGGTCAGATATTTCTTCAATATTTAATTTTTTTGCGCAAGTTTATTTTAATGTTTTTATGTTTTGTAAATAACTATATTACGTTCCTCATTTATACATACGAAAAGCTCAGTTATTAATATATTAAAAAACCTTTTTACTGTGATTAGTTTTGCACTGATAGAGTTATCGTAAAGTTTCTCACAAAATAAAATTCAACTTTTAAACTTTCATCAAATTTTCAATTGTAAATAATAAATTGGAGTACAAATTAAAATTAAAATTTTGAAAGCTGGCTTTCTTTAGGCAAAATTAAGATAAGTCTGAGTAAAATTAGATATAATTCTAGGCAAAATTAAGTTAGACAAAATTAGATATAAATTTGACGAAATTAGGGTTGAAAATTTTACGTAATTTTACATAAACTTTTGTAAGTTTTGTGAATAATGTTGATTGGCTGCATACGTTACATCCAATAACGGTTTGTTTCCATCCAATTGTCTCATAAATTCGCATAATACCTCAGGTCCATTTCTTCACACTTTAGTCTCTACTTTAGTACATATGTTGCTAATAAATAATCAATTTCCCTAGGTCCAAATTGATTAAAGCTAAGGTCTAAGGAGGCTGTTATAACGAAAATTTTATATTACAAGCTAATTCTACTAACATTATATTTACCAGAGTTACGAGCTAATTCTACCAACATTATGTTTACCAGAGTTACGGAGTTTAATTCTACCAAAATTATGTTTACACAGTTATCAGAATTACCAATTAATACTACCTATGTTTACCAGAGCTACGAATTAATTATACCTATACTAAAGTTATTCTAACTTACCAATCTAATGATGGCCAGTATTATTCTTTTAATTCTTTTATATCGAATAAATCATTAATACGACAATTAAGAATCACCTATTTTCCGTATTGTTCGCCCCATCACTATTAATAATTCTCATTATGAAGAAGTTTGCGGCTTTTTTAACACTGAAGGCTTGAATATTGAATATTCAATTATCATAAGATTCTTGTGAATTGAGATAGAGTATAAATTAATCTAAATGATTTTTAATTCAAAAAATTTAAAATTTATTTACATATTTTTGAGTTCAAAAATTTATTTTTAATTTTTTGAAAATTTATTCTGTTATCAATTATATTAAAAAAAAAAATATTATACAAATCAAGGATTATTCAATTATTTTATTTTTTCTGACCTGGGAAAATTAATATTCTTTACATTATTTTAGTTAATATATACACTTTTATATCTAAAATTTATTATGAGTAAAGAAGTTAAACTGAAAGACATTCAGATTGAGGTAAAAAGATAAAAAATTTCATAGAAAATTTTGGATGAACAATAAATCTAAATTATTTTGCATTCTAGTTAAAAGTGGGTTATTATTATCTATTTAGCTCCTCTCTTCCGAGAATGGAAAAATACCAAAATGGAAATTTTTTTCTTCACTCCTATGTCGGAAGTTATTTAAAAGAAGAGCAGGGCAGATACTTATTTTGCTTGGAGAACAGCAATGAAAAATTCGAACATTGCTTATGAAACGATATTAAAAAATATCATCCCAATTATTTGGAAAGCATTTCGAAAGAGATCGAAGACGAGCAAAAAACTATGTTTCTTCCTTATTTTTACGAAGCACAACTTTCTAGAAAAAACATTTCTCATAATATACTTAGCGGTAGCACAATATCTCTTCGTTTATCCTAAAAGGCAAGAATAATGTTAAACTTTTGTTTGCATCTATTGAACCAAAACTTACCAAAGTGGAGACAGTCGACCAGAACTTCTTACCAGGTTGCAACAAAAAATTTACTGTGTTTACAAGTAAAATTGGTGAGAGAATTAATTTTCGGGATAATTCAGAAGAATATCAGCAACATAAAGTCATTCAAGATGAAAATTTAGAATTTTTTCTTGATTATAAAAAGTTTAGTGAAAACCATAATTGTCTAATTGCTCTTAAGGAAACTGAGAAAAAATTTAAATACGATGCGAGTCAAACAATTGAGTATTATAAATTTTTGTGGACAAAAAAATAGTCGATGAATTTACCTCTCAACAAGATTAGAATTATCTAATTATTAAAAAATATTTGAACATCAAGATTTTCATAGCGAAAACATTTTATAAAGTTTTATTTAATGAAATTGAAATAATTTTCGTCAAAAAAATCACATTATGAACATATAATTACTACAACTTCCCATCAAAATATTTGTTCAATTTATGATATGAATTCTCTTCATCATTATTCATAAGAATGAAACATTTCAATGCCTTCTTATTATCAGGATAATTTCTAATAATCTTGTCAGATCGAATTTTTACCAATTTTAGTATATGCTTGAGCTTGGATATGCAATATCTCTTCTTCGTTATTTAGATTCATTTTCAATAATTCAGTCGAAATATCGATCATTACTTCTCCTTGAAGCCGTAAGGCAAACTTATCATTCGAATGAGTATCTAAAACGGTGAGAGCTTCATTAGGATTATTTATTTTGATATCTGATTCTAAGAAACACGGGAAAGGTTGCTTTAGTTTATTGACTTTGTAAAGAATTAACATAAAATTATAAATATGCAAATCCTAACCCTAAATTCTTAGATAGTACACATAAATACGTGCAATTGATGAATTCTGTCACGAAGGTGTTTTTATAATCTTTATTATATTATGCTAAAACACAGGGCCAAATCTGGTTTAATTTGTTATTATATAGAAGTTACTCTAACTATATCTTGCAAAGAAGTTTATTTGTATAGCGAATATTTAATAACTTTTAAACATACCGAACATAAAAAAGCCTAAATTAATTATAATTCTGGGCATATCTCCATGCAAAATCAAATTTAATTTCAAGCAAAATTAAGTATAATTCCAGATAAATTCATTATAATTTCAAGCAAATTTTTGATATAACTCCAGGCAAAATCAAAATTTAATTTCAAGCAAAATTAACAGTGTTGGGCAAAATTAGGCAAAATCAAAATACATTTTGCAAAATTAAATATAATTCCAAGCAAAATTAGGAATAACTCAACACTTTCAAGCAAAGATAAGTACAGTTCTGGATGCAAAATTTAGGCTAAATTTAAATATAATTCTGGGCAAAATTAGGCAATAACTCTGGGCAAAAATTAGGCATAACTTAAGGCAAAATCAGAATATATTTTTCAAGCAAAATTAAGTATAATTCCGGGCAAAATTAGGTATAACTCTGGGCAAATCAAAATATATTTTCAAGCAAAATTAAGTATAATTCTAAAATATATTTTTCAAGCAAAATTAAGTATAATTCCAGGCAAAATTAGGCATAAGTGGGATCTTTGCTAGAAAAATGACCTTCCGAGGCTATATAGATTTTATAAATAAAATTCAAATTTGCTAGTCATCCAATAATCCAATTTAAATAATTTTTTTTATTTTGTAAAGATAAATGAGCTTTATCTCTTAAACCGTTAGAAATTCAGAGCAAATTTGCCTGAATTTTACTATAAAAGTACTTCTGATCTATTTTTTTAAAAAATCAATATATTTAAGTAAAATTTTTTTTTAATAATATTTGAAAATAAAAATTATATTTTTACAAAATTTATATTTAGGTTATAAGGTAAAAAGTTTAACTTGCTTATATACCAAAAATATTCAAATTTTAAAAAAATTTTTAACTAAAAAAATAATTTACAATTTTTAATAAACTCTTTAAATATTGATTTTAAACCTATATTTTCTTAATGGAAATTATTGTTTAAATAAAGAATAACAACATTCATTATTATGACTTTTGTAATTTATTTATAAAAATTAAATCTTGTATTAGAAGTAAAAAAAAATTTTATAGACGGAAACATATAGAATTTAAAAAATCTAAAGAAAAATTTTATAATAAAAAATTCAAAATAAAAAGTTTAAACTTTTATTACTCTTAAATTTCTTAAAAGATTCTTAATAAACTTACTAAAATATATTTTAAAATATATTTTTTTACTTAGAAAGTATATATCTAAAATCAATATTTCAGATTTTATTTTAAAAATAAGATTTTTAAAAAAATTTCAGGGCAAATTTGTAGGAGAAACTGTTTAAGAGATAAAATGAAAAAAAAAGTTTATTTAAATTGAATCATTGGATGGCTGGCAAATTTGAATTTTATTCATAAATCTACATAACCTCGGAAGGTCATTTTCCTAGCAAAAATCCCAAGTAGGGTTGTATAACTTATCCTAACTTACGTAAGTTAGATTTTACCTTATGTAACTTACGTAACTTACATATGGTTATACTAATCTAATGCTGGCCAATATTTTTAAAGTTGGCCCACTTTAGCTTTTGGCCTAAAATTAAAATTTTTCTTTCTATTTCATCTTAATGCTAGTCAAACTTTCTTAATGCCGACCTGCTTTACTACCTTATATATTTGTAACTTAAATGAGGCCATGTAATTACGATGTAACTTACAATGTAAGTTACATTGTCACACAACTATATGGATATTTATAAAGAGATAACACGGAATACACTCCTTTTTTTTTATTTTGTTTTGATAATTTAATTCATTTATAATAATATTTAGATCCTTACATTCATTTTTGATACTGTACAAAAATTGTAATGTATATTTCAGATCTTATCATTAAAAAACTTGTAGAATTATTCTAATAATTGGGAAAGTTGATTTTCAAATTCTCAAAATAATAAATTGAATTAATCTTAAAAAAATTCCGAAAGGGAGATTTTTTTTTATTAAAAATGTCTGAATTAAAATTTTGTACAGAAGTTTTAGAATCATGGATTTTCTTTTGCTTTTTGGTAACCTTTTAGCGTCTAAGTCTACTAATATATATGTTAAATAATTCATGATTTCCTTCAATAATTTCTTTTTTAAAACCAGTCGTTCTACCTTTTATATAATATACGAATAATTCTTTTAGGTCGCCTTTTATATTTTTCCTTTCAGCATAAAAATCTAAAAAATTCTTTTTTTAGAATGTCAAAGATTTCATATTCGCCTGAATATGACAAATTGCTATTAAGACTTTTCATTGTTTGTATCTGGAACTGTTCCCATTTGTCTTTGCCATTATTTTCCATTAATTGATTTCCAACAATTAACTATTTACCTTTTCTAAATTTGGAAGCTATTTTGTATAGATCAAGATAATTATCACTATTTAAAATTTCATTATTCCAAACAAAAAGATTATGAGAGAATTGATCAAAAGAGACTATAAAAGTAGAAAATTTGCCGGTAGTGTTTAAGGATTCAACATTAAGTCCGTTTGACTGTAATAAATTTTTTATTTTTTCCGATAAGTAATGCATGATAAAATATTAGAGATATGCTTCATCGTCCCTGTTAAATAAACACTGTTTATATAAAAAAGAATTTCTTTTTGCATAGAAATTTCGTGTTTCTTATTTAATTTATTCAACTTATCAATTTAACTTCAGAAAATATACACTTGAATTTTTTCTTGTTTGATAAATTAAAATTCAAAAGAACTTTTCGATAAGTTCGATAAGGATACAGTATTTTGGTTTAACTATTTAGTTTATAAAATTAGATAAATATTACTTGAATTCTAAAACAATACAAGAATTAAATCATTATTCAAATATAATTTTGAATTCAACTGATAATTTTCAGGCTCAAAATCAACTTAATATTGGCCAGTACAAAAATGTAGATACCAAAACTAAAAGCTAATTTTGTATATTGAGAAGGGAAATTTGGTGAAATTGTAAATAAATAAAGCGAGTATACATACAAAACTAAAATACTGTACACCTGAATTGCTTGTAAAACATAATATAATACATTCATTATGTCATTAATTTATTTTCTAAAAAATCTATAAAATATATGGATTAGTTAAAATTTTAATTTATTAATCTTCATTTCTGTAGTGTGGGATTTAAAAATTAAAAATTCAAATGCCATATCTCATAATCTATTGAAAAAAATATTATTTTACATAAATTATTGATGTGATAATTAAAAATTTCCCTGTGATGATTAACATCACATCTCCGTGCCCCTGTGACAAATTGAAATCACGCCCCGTGCCCCCAACCCTAGAATTGTGACAATTTAAAGATCTTACGGACCCATGGGTCCGTTTAGTCATGTGATATTATACTGTAATAAAAAGTTCTATATCTGTTTGCATCCATTTTTAAGGTCCGCTTATACTGTAAGTAATCATATCTTCAGATAAGAATGATTATAATTTAAAGATTAAAACTTTGAATAATAAAAGAAAGTATAAATTTATCACTTAGCACTAATACCATCTTTTGGAATTAAAGAAAATAAATCATTATTCATTTTGCTTTACTGTATAATAATAACGTTAATAACGTATGACAAGAAAGGACTTCAATATATAAAAAAATATACAGAGTGTAAATAAATTTTTTATTTTTATTTTTTATTTCTTTGATGATATCAAGATAAACTTTAGCATTACTTAAAGTTCCGAAGTAATTACAAGAGATCCGTCATCATCATTTTCTGACTCATAAATCTTATCTAGTGGTGTAGTAATTATATTAGTAATTATATTAGATCTGTCATCATTATATTCATACTTTTCATAAATCTCGGCTTGTGGTGTAAGTGCTTGGCAACAAATTTTGAGATCCGCTTTATAAAAAAGATTGATCATGAAGTATAGAAAATTTATGAAATAAAATTTAATGCCGCGGAAGAAGTTACAATTTACTTATTGTTTAACGAATTTTGATTTCAAATTAAACTTAATTTGGGCTGAAAACAACTACTGGGTCACCCACCATCTATTATTGTGTCAACCATATTTCAATTTTTGAATTAATTAATTCAAATAAAATAAAATGAAATAAGGCAAAAAAAGTAAACAAAAAGAATGAATGGTTTATAATATCACGAGATCCCAATTTTGCCAAATGATAAGTATGATTTTCAACTCCTAATAAGGCTGTAAATACAGAAATATAAAATAATTAACGCTGTATTTGAATTAAAAAAATTTGAGGAATGGATTATATATACCAAATAAGCAAAGCCATCCAATTAAATTCAAATCGAAAAACCAAGCAAATATAATGTAGTTCAAAAAAGCACAAATAATGCCAAAAAAAAGTATATGATTATAATGACGGAGGATATTAAATTCAATTCCAAATAGGGCTGCATAATGAAAAAATAATTAATATATTAAGTTACGATGAGAAATATATAAGAAATGCATTATATATATACCTAATGCACAAAACCATCCAAAATAATAATTCAAACTGAATCTAA